CATATGGAAGGTTTCTCTCTCTCTCTCCCCCTCTCCCTCTCTCCCACCCTTTCTCCCTTCCTTTCTCTCTCTCCTTTCCTCTCCCTCTCTCCTTTCCTCTCCTTTCCTCTCCCTTCCTCTCACTCTCTTTTACCTCTCAAACAAATAAAACTTCAGGAGAAGATCGGGGAGGAGCAGGTGTTTGGCCTAGTAGTTGAGGTGCTTGCATCTCCTATTGATGCAAGTGCCCAGACTCGAAGCCTGCTTTCAGTCCCTATTCCAGCTTCCTGCTGCAAGACTCAAGCAGTTGGGTCCCTGCTTACTCCTATGTAAAACCTTGATTTAGTTCTCAACTCCTGATTTTTTTTTTCCTGGCCCAGTCTAGATCTTTAGATTTTTCTGAGAGTAAATCCTGCAGATGGAAGCTCTCTCTCTGAAATAAAAATAATAATTTGTTTTAAGTTGAGGAAACAGAGGAAGTTAAATTCAACCCCATGACTGCAGAAAGATTCTATTAAATTGTTAAATAGAGGATCAGACATTGAGCTGGAACACTTGCACCCCAAAATGTAACATGGACAGTTGCATATTGTAATATCCGGTTGGAATCATAGCTGCTCCTCTTCTGATGTAGCATCCACGGGAAAGAGCACTCAGGTGTTTGGGTCCTTGCCACCCACATGGGAGACCCAGAATGAGTTTTGGGTTCCTTGCTTTAGCTGGGCCCCTGCCAGGGTATTATAAACCAACAGTGGCAAGCCTCTCGTCCTTTCCTCTTCCTCTCTGTTTCTTTGCATGTCGAATCAAATGAAGACAACTAAATGAAAAAAAAAAATTTAATTATCACTACAGGGGCCAGGTGTGGTAGCCTAGTGGCTAATGTCCTCATCTTGCATCTGTGGGGATCCCATATCGGCAGTGGTTCTAATCCCTGCTGCTCCAGTTCCTATCCAGTTCCCTGCTGTGGCCTGAAAGAGCAGTTGAAGACGGCCCAATGCCTTGGGGCTTTGCACCCATTTGGGAGACCCAGAGGAAACCCCTGGCTCCTGGCTTTGGATCTGCTCAACTCCTGCCGCTGTGGCCATTTGGGGAGTGAATCAGCAGAGAGAAGATCTTCTCTGTCTCTCTTCCTCTCTGTATATCTGACTTCCCAATGGAAATAAATGAGTATTTAAAAAAAAATGATCACTAGTTGATAGGTCATTACCATCTGTCTGCTTTCTTATGCCATTATTTACTGGTGTCTGCCCTCTCATCCTGAGAGAAAACCATGTCAATTCCATAATACACATCTGCAAATGAATAACAAACAGCAGATTTCAAGGAACATAAATGCCATTTCTAAACACTTATTCCATTTTTATAGCATAACCAGTTGTTGTTTAGAGGTATTCCTATAATTTCTGTCTTGTAATATCAATCAAAATGACCAAATAGTGGCAGATCTTCTGTCTGCTATCTTTAGGCAGAGGCATAACTGAGTCATGTAGGACTAGGACTCTTGTGGACCTTTTGTAAAGCAGGAAGTCAAAGATGTAAGGTGCTTATCACACACATTTTCTGTTACTAGCAACAAGAGAGTTAGCTGTACTCTGACTGTGGAGTTCTACTCGTGATGAGTAGGGTAGCATCTGCTGAGCACGAGGCCGGAGCCAGAGGCTTGAGGTTATAAAACACTACACAAAAGGTCTGTTCATGAGAGCAATGTTTGTTCAGTACAGATTGTCCAGTTGTAATTGACGGGAGCTGGCACATAGCATAGATAGATCATTGAAAGAATGGAGAGGGCAGAAAATAAGTGCTCCTGGGGTTTGGACCTGCCAGCAGGGTCCCGAGGTCACCGAGGGGGAGGCGACGTTGTTCTTTGGCCACAAGAAGAACCCAAGAAACACCGGGGACAAGCTGATGAGGAATGTCGATTTATTCAGCCCAAGCTCCAGGTTTATAAAGGGCTAAGAAAAGGAAGAGTAAGAGGGCGTTTTTCAGGTCATTCCTTCACCCAGGGATGACAGTGTGATTGGATGAAAGGGACGCCTAATCCTGTTGATCTTCCAATCATAGCAGAGATCAGGTTCTATATACAGGATTGGAAGCCACACCCTAGACCGGGGCAGACACACGTTCTAGGTCACGCCCGCCAGGTAGCCGGCAGATACCCCAGGGATGGTTTCCCACACAGTGCCATAGGCAGTTGGCTAAGTGGATGTAGAAGAGTTTGCCCACAAAGTTTTCTGCCTGCCGTTCAAGTCACAACTTCATGCCACACATCTCTTTTCCCTTTGTGAAGAAGGAGGTGAGCATGGTGGGCTGGCACGTGAGGAGAGGCTCTGTCGCCGAGCTTCCCTGTGCTGTCTTGTGATTGCAAGAGCAAATTCCAGCAGACCTTTCATGTAGAGGAGGATCTGGTGCGTGCGTCCCTTCCCGCGTCTGTGTCTCTGTGCCCATGTGTGCGGGAGGGGGGATATAAGGCAGGGTGTTTAAATGCTTTGTTGCATTATGTTAATTCCTCAGCAGTGCAATCAAATTCGTGTCGTAATTAAAGCTGTCAGTTGGAAGGCAAGCCAATCGCCACGAAAGCACAGCATAACAAATGAAGTGAAATGATTCTGCGTGTAGCTATACAATGCTTCGCCAGGCATGAAATTAAATAAGTAATTTGATGTTGACATCAGAAATTGAAATGATACCCACTGTTCCCTCATTCAGTCAGACCTGCATAAACAATAGCCAGAACAAATATGCACAACAAAACCCTCTCCTCCACCCAGCTCCCTGAGTAATGTACAATATATATGCAAAATGAGCATAACAGAGCCTTCCCAGGCCTGATGGATGTAATTTTCTTTGGTATACAATATGATGTGTCTGTATGTGGGGTGGGGGGATGGGGGCGTGCAGGTGATTGTGAAAGGGGTTCTTCTTCTAGGATAAAAGGCAAGGAAAGGGGAGACACAAAAAGAAACAAATCCCATGGTCCCTCTGAGTAATTCATTGCCAGAATCAGTTTACTTCCCAGGGGCGTGACTCCAGGCTGGTGGAGACCTAACCTGGCTTTTGCCTTCCCATGCTCCATGGCGGGCTGTGAGTGCCAAGAACAGGTGACACTGTCACATGTCACACTGATGGGAGATGCTGTCTCCATGACTACTGTGGCTCTCCCTCCATACTATTGGCAGCAATCAAGAACACAGCAGGAATTTTTAAAACCACGTCCAGTGTGCGAGATCACATGTCAGCTGTACTTGACTCGCCTGAGCTTGTTGGAGTCACTGACGTTAACAACGTTGAGCTTTGAGAACTGTATTTAGGATTGCCCCAACGCCTACTACCATTTTCGTTTTATGGACGTGTGCTTACCACTCATGTTTCTTTCTCCTGCAGCTTAGAATTGAAGAATCACCCTTACCGTATTTTTCAGAGATGTCGTTCTCTGAGCTGTTTTTTCCTGCGGTACCCATTTGTTTCTTTATACAGGAATATAACAGATGGGAAATGCATCCTGTGTGCTAAGATCTCAAGCAGCAATGATGTACAGGCCAGGTGGTACGTGCTACCTGTGGTTGACAGACTAGGGGACAGGGCGTGCAGGTGAAAGAGCTACAGGTGGATTGAGTACTATGTGTCAGGTGGAGGTGGAGGTCAGGCGGCCCTGGGGAAGGTGCAAGGCTCTCTGAGGCTTCTCAGGGACAAGGGCTGTCTGCAGCGAGCAGGAGCCTAGCAGAGCTGGAAACCGAAAGCATCAGCTTCCTTCTCATTCCAGTCTTACGTGGAGCCTCCCTTAATCAGAAAGCACACGCTTAAGATTAAATCTTTGCATATATATATATATATATATATATATATGAGAAGTTTGAAGCAGAAAGACACAAGCATACAAATAATAACAGCCAGAAAATAAAAAAAAAAAAAGAAACTCAGAAGTTTAGAACACTAATATTTTGGGTGGGTGGGGCCACTGCATTGGCTTGACTGGCTAATCCTCCACCTCCAAACCTTAGCATCCCATATGGTTGCTGCCAGCTTCTCCACTTTCAATCCAACTCCCTGCTATGGCCTGGAAGGGCAGCAGAAGATGGTCCAGACCTTTGGGCCCCTGCACCCGCATGGGAGACCTAGAGGAAGCTCCTGGCTCTTGGCTTTGGATTGGTTCAGCTTTGGCTATTGAAGCCATTGGGGAGTGAACCAGCAGATGGGTGAATTTTGCCTCTCCTTCTTTTTGAAATCTTCCTTTGCAATATAAATGAATAAATCTTTAAAAATAATCTTGCTGTGATTCCTTACCCAAAGAAAGTGATGCCCCCCCCACCAGGCGTCTTTTTCAGTATTACTGCTTTTGAATTTCCTGATGTGTCAAAACAACGGCAGCCAATGTTAATTCTTATGAATAAATCCTTAAGAAAAAAATGGTATTTTCACTGCTTCTCTGTGCCCACACATTCTTTGCATTTTAGTCCACTAATTATGTTTACAAAATGTCTCATTTTTTTGAAAAATACTGTGTGTGTACTAACTGGTGCCCTCAGAGAATAAACTGGCAACTAGGTCATATACTAGAAAAGTCATCCAAACCCACTGGGCTTTTTATTTTTCAGTCAGTCTGGGCTTTTTCCTCTTGCCTGCCCCTTTGCGGCCACAGAACTGAGTAGCTTGAGACCAGGGCATTGAATGTCAGCAAGTCAGGAAGGCAGGCTGATGCGTGTCTGTTTAGTCTCAGCACAGGGCGAAATGCCATCATTAATTCATTACCCAGCTGCCTGTCAAATAAATTGGCAATTACGTCCACCGCAGAAGCTTGGAATTCAGTAAATAGCACGTTAGCATCTCTGAGTTGTTGAGAGATGTAAAGGGGAAAATTAAGCAACACGGTGTTTGTATCAGTCGCAGCTGACAAGGGACAGCACACACTGGTGATATGATGTAGTGATGAAAAGCCTGCAAAGGGCGGTAATGAGCTGTGTGGATTGGAACGTGTTAAAAAAACCATTGCTGATTTTCCACTTTGTCTTTATGCTTTATTGCAGAGTTCAGCTCCTTCCAGCTTGGGAACAGGCTACTTCGTAAGTCTATCTCAACTTCCACATATGTGCCTTGCATTGGCATTGATTTGCTTCAATAATGAATGCTTGTTAGGATGTGGGGGGAAAAAAAAATCTAAGCAATTCCCTCTCAGTCCTAATGCACAGTCTGATTTCTGTCCTTTTACTAGCAATTGTTTCGTGTTTAAAAGACAACCTGCTGGGCCCATAGGTGTCTCAGTCAGTCTGCGGTGTGCACTGGTTTCCCAGCATCCCTCCTTGCCGGCTAGCGCCAGGGGATACAGGGAGCCTGGTTGGTTCCTGCCACTGCTTCTCCGTAGTGTGTGTGCACACGTGTGAGAAGGACCATGAGGAGAAGCAATTCCAATTATGCTTTGAGATGTGAATTCACTTTGAAAATCTCTGGAAGAATTTCCCTCCATATGCGTTGGGTGTTATTTTTAAAATGTGAATGAGATGTGGTGTTTTCAATGGATAGCCCCCCTCAGCGTCTGGCTAGAAGGCCTTCAGGTGTTCGTTCAACCATATCAAACTCCTCATTTTAGCAAACAGAGGTGTGTATCATTCCACTTCTGGTCTTTATCCTGTGTCCTTTGAGAGAGTTGGCTATGGGAGGCGTAATTCAAGAATTAACCACGGTAGCTTTCATACATGGGTAAATTGTCACATTCTTGTATTTATTTATACCAAAATTGCCATTTTGGCTTGAAAACTTTTTTTTTCCTTTCAATAAATAATTGTAGAAGCATTGTAAGGAAGCGTTGTTTACAAAACAGGATGACGGGCCAGAGTAGAAATATACTGTCACATTCCAAGGAACCCGATGCACAGTGATACTGTAATGCCTGTTGAACATGTTTAGGGAAACTGACCAAACCCTGAACGTAAACTGGAAAATGGCTTCCGATTTAGTTTAGCTGCTTTTAACCCCTAACCCCCAGCATGCTAACAGTTACTCTGCTGATTTTTCTGCCAACGTAGTTTTGTTGATCTGTTTATATTAAATGTATAAATACCAGCATCATTTCATTGAATGAGATTTTTTTTTCTGATATGAAAATAGGAACAACCCAGTAATTCCATCTCAGTCCCAAAGAGCAGACTGCTTTCTTCTCTCCTTTTACCAGCAGTTGTTTTACGTTTAACCACAACCTGCTGGGCTGCTAAGTCGATCTGACGTATACACTGGGTTTCCGGGATACGGGATATTTATTCCTTGTCTGGCAGAGTGGTATTTTCTAGACCCGGGTGATTTTAATCCTAATCTCTAAGGATAGGAAGGATAGAGATGACTTGGGCCCGCCTTAATACAATGAGCATACTTATGCTTGCTCCTGTTCATCAAGGACGGATATTCATGTTTCCAGAAGCAAGCAGGAGACACTCTGCACCCGCAGTGGAAAGAACAGATGCAGGCCCTTCTGCCATCTCTTCACACCAGGCTGGATTGGGTGGAGATGCTGAAGGGAAATCTGGAGGCGGCCAGTGCCTGTCCTTCAGCCAAGAGCTCAGTTCTCCCACTTTGCTTTTTTCAGCAGATACAAGGCCAATACTGGCACCTGAGTCCTGGCTCATTTTTTCAGTGAACATTCTAGATTTTTCTGTTTTCTTACTTTTAGTAGACTCTCTTGAAATAACAAAGTCATTTTTGCCAGATCAACATTTTCATGATGCATTTTTTCCCTGCGATTCTAGAAGTGTTTACATTTATTCTCTAACAATACGTTCCTATGAGTAAAGAGTATTTAGTTATAAAGTGATTTTTTCACCATGGGCTAAATGTATAAAAATTTATTCTTATTTGGTAAAATTGCTTGTAGAATTATGTTACTTTTATAAAAATCAGTCATCTTACTAGCTTACATGGAGAAGATACATACCAGATGTGTATTCAGTTAAAGTATGACAAAAATGTCCTACTTAGAATGTGGTTCCAATAATGTGATTGTTCTGTTATCAGAATACAAAATCCACTGATATTGTTGCAAAATCTTCATCAAAAAATATCTTCTTTTTTCAAAATCTTCCCAACACTAACACATGTAACACATAGGGTTAGGTACTAACTTCCACACTGATGAGTTTCGTACTTTGAAGTGGAAATGATATGTTCACAACTTTTGCTAACCCGGCAATATACTCTTTGTGCAATATTGTGATTTTTAATGTCATGGTAGCTTTCTGTTTGAAAAGAAGACAGGCAGGTAAGTGGAACATTGATCTTTCAGCTCTATTTCAATCCACCTCAGCATCTCTTTGGAATGGGGGGTGGAGGTGAATCAACTGTTTATTTTAATGAGCTGGTACCGTAAATGCACCATAATTCGAACTCTGGCTTAAGGAAACTGAAGGCAATGACTTATTGGGTTTAACAGCCTGGAACTGCTTCTTCTTCAACAGTCTCCTCTGTCACAGTAGCACTCTAAGCTAAGCAACTGCAGCTAGCTACGTTTTATATAGAACTTTTAGTGAACTAAGATAAAATGCTGTTCACTGTATTAATTAGGTAATCACTTTAGTATAAGCTTGTCACAACACACACACACACACACACATGCACACACACACACACGCACACACACACACATGCACACACTCAGCCTTACCCAAGCCCAAAACATTATACTTTCAATTCTTTGAATGTATCAGTCAGGATAAGTTAAAAGGCTTAAAGACGAAGCATGTGTTTTTGATCTGGTGATATTTGTTTATATCTCCCTGGTTTTGTGTTCCAAAGAAGTCTGCCTGGGTCTGTCACTTTTCCAATCCACTTAAAAGCAGAAGATTTGAGAAATGAGAACAGCAGCTAAGATCAGTATTTACATAAGCATATTGCAAAGAATCCTTAGAGTAGACAAAATAGAGAAGGATTGGAACAAACTTTCCACATTTTGGGCGCTTTTAAATAATGTACGTGTTACACACACACACACACACACACACACACACTCATGAGTACATACTCATTTCCAGCTCAAATTCTAAATACAGATGAAAGTATAAACTAGTTGGAATCAATTTCTTGTCCTTTTTTTTTTCCCCTCTTGGCAGGAGCACTGAAGCTTGTTGGAGTGCATGTGGGTTTTTTTTTCCCCTCGTTTTAAAACATCAATGCAGTGAACATATTTTCAATCTAAGTAGTTTAGACTATGTTTTCTTCTTCAACATGTGCTTATAGCTTCGTTATGCATAATGTTTAATCCAAAATGCTCTTTGACAACAGCTGCATGCCCACTATCAGGTTAATTACTTTGTGTCCATTTGCTTTTCAGTAGCTACCTAATAGAGTGGTGATATATTTAACACAGAGAGAACAGCACTGCATGATAGCAAACCATGCATATTCTTTTAGCGATACAATGCTATCATTTCTAATATTGATGAGAAAAACTAAATTTTGTAATTTATACTTATATACTGCTATTTTATTCTCATCATGTTTTTAACTAGCTTTTTCAAGAACCCGGGAGTTTGGGTTTGGTCAGCTACTTAACAAGTTACTCCCTCTGTGACCGTAAAACAAATACGGAGTTTACCCTCAGTCGCTTACGTGAGCTGGTTCATTTTGAAATGAGCTCTTCCACAGACTATCCACATGATAGCGTTGTCCCTGTTTTGGTTTAAGTTGCATGTTGATTTTCTCCCGCACTGCTTAACCCTTCCGCAGTTTAGGCTGGAAGATTGAGTAAGACCTGTTGAGCCCATTCCGATTAGAAGAGGGCATATCACACTCTGGCCACTGTCTGGCATAGAAGGCGGTCGGCCCAGAATAGCTATTATGTAACTGAAGGGAGTCCTGCGGGAAGACCTGTGAGCTGTGTCCTCCCAGCAAACATCAGGATCATTCCTCAAAAGCACTGGCTTCCATAGCTCAGAGCCCTGCTGCCAACCGACTGGCCAGGCTGAACTTGTACGGAGGGAAGTGCAGTGCCTCGTCACGCCTGTTCTCTGGATGGCTTACAGCCTGCAAGCAGGCTTGAATCTAAGTGTCTCAGGGCCGTTACCTCAGTCTGCTTTTGTAAACTCTGGTAATTTCTCTTAAGTATTTTCAACTAATAATTTTCATCCTTCTCAACTGGAGCACATGTAGTAATCAACATAGTTTAAAGTTAGCGAAGAAACCAACCCACTTCTACCTAGCCATTAAAGATATCACATTATATAATAAAGGGCAATTGTGTTGTGGTACGTGGGTTAAATGGGATTTGGGTAATTGCTGTTTTCCTTTGAATTAAGCTGTATTTATAGTGCTGGTGACATGCAATAGATGCAACACAAGTACCTATGTCTTTCCATCTGGAGTTACAATGGTCATAAAGAGCAGATCCTTGGCCTCCTGTCTGCATTTTTGACCATAAACCTCTCAAATATCTCCTGTTTGCCTTTGCTGTAATTTGTCATAACTCCCCTAACTGATGTGTGGTGTTTTATGTAACCATATTTGCTTTTTAAATCTCAGGGTAGATTTTGTGACTAAGCCAGAGAAGAATTGGTTTCTGCTCAAAGACTGAGGTTTGCTTCATTTCTGTTTTTCTTAGAAGATGAACTTTTCATTAAACAGACGTTTCTGACTTTTTGTAAATATTAAGCATTTTCTGTATTAGGCATTGTTCCGGGTGTGGCACTGTAGTTATGGCTGTCTGTCTCAAGGAATGTAGGCTACCCTAAACCCGCCCTTTTTGTGAAACTTTTAATTATTACTAGCATATAGTACTTAAATAAGAGAAGCCTTCTAGAGGACCTTACATGCTTACTGATAGTATTTGTGCATATTTTTATTTCCAGAAGTTGTGAGATATAGCAACATGGCCTTGGCTGCAGACTTTCCAAAGAAGAATTAGCTGCCTTTCCCCCTCCCTGCTACTACTTATTCTTTGGCGATTCTGGAACATAATTTTACAACTAAGAATCTTTTAAATACTTTATACTCAAGATAAATAACATTGAGGATTTTTAATACTTTTCAAGAAAATACTTAACAGTGGGCATTTATCACTCATTAATCTTGGGTGAATTAATTA